AAAGTAACTTTAAAAGTTGAGGTAAATGTTCCAATCCTGGGTTTTGTAAGATTTTTATATTTAATCAGCTCCATTAATACCGGAATTGGATTCATACTAGAAGATATTGACATAGAAGAATATACTTCATCTTGCTATAATTATTTGCTTGTTAGTTCTACGCTTTACTAGTTGCTGGTCAAAGAAATGTGCCTCTTTTTAGGCCTGGGTAACACTGTGTTGAGTTGCGCTTTTGAGTTGATGAGTTATAATAATTCTTGAAATCAGAAGTTTTAAAGGACATTTTTAATTAATTGAAATTGCGTTGGTTTCGATCATAGCTCGGAAATTGAGCAAGCGTTTCGTCTTTAAGTGATTTATTCGCGGTTTTTTTTTGTTTCGCCAATATTTTTAGAAAAACAAAATTAATTCGATTATTAATTTTAGTTTTGGTGTTGTGCGTTAATCACTGCAGCTGAGTGAAATTCAGACAATTATAAATGAGAGGTGAGATAACTCAGAGGTGAGATAAGACTCAGAGGTGAGCACGTGACGAAATCAATATTAGATATTCTAATTTGAAGTGATATTCTAATTTGAAGTGATATTCTAATTGAATGTGAGTCATTTAGTAAGCCTTTACACAAAATATCAAACTCAAATTGCTCGAAAGTTTATATAAATTGAACAAAATGACTGCTTCGATTTAATTTAAACTACCATTTTATTTAAAAAATCTAATGCGCCGGATTTGTTCATTTTTGGATGAGAATGCAGGGGTGGTTACGGTTATCATCCAAACGAGTTTTAACGTGAAATTTTACTTCAGAAATATTGCAATGCAAACAGGCACTTTCTACAAAAATAATAAACAAAGTGAAATCGAACTAACAAGCAATAGCAGAACAATGAATCATCGAAAGGGCGAACATACAAATGATTAAATAATCATGTTCATTCTGTAGTTCGGTGTATTTTTTTCGAAAAGGTGTATGAATATGCAGTTCGCTACCGACAGTGGACGAAATAGGTCGATGATCCTTTGTGTCTTGTGAGTCGCATTCTTATATGGGAAATAGAGAGTCATTGTGGCCCTTATGGCAAGTGCGGTGGTTTGTGAAGGCTAAATGTATGGAAAATGGAGGATAGGGCGCCAGCTTGCAGAAAGCTAAGAAAGCGGTAAGAATGATTTCTAATCTGTAAATCTTTTAGCTTGAACTGAGATTAGTTTTCCTACAAGCAACTAATGTTGTATGGGTTCTTTACAATTCTCTCTTTTTGCTTTGCTGATCTCAAATAAGTTTGGCTTTGGACAGATTTCCTGCTGTATTAAACACATTTTATTCTTTCTTTCTAGGTGGCACTACGCAGCTTTCGGTAAACCATTGCTTTGCTATATTGGTTGCTATGTACATGCAGAACCTACTTTTAGTCCCATATTCATCAACTGACTCGTAGGGTGGATTTAGTACCGATTGAGCTATTGATTTTTTCGTAGTTAATTTTTAAACTTTGGGAATATTTTGGGCCGCTTCGTATTTTTACATCAAGCTCATTCTGTAGAGACTTCTGTAGAGATTCCGCACAACTCGGAACTTGTAGAGTAATTCTGGTTTTTGAAAAAATTATTTTCGAAAGTTTATTTTTCGAATTTAAGTTCCTTGAATAATTATGCATTGCAGTTGACAACAAGCTGCGTTCTCAAATGCCAAAATAGTGTGAGAAGAGGCAAATCAAATATTCTTCAAACAAGAAGTTTTCCTTTCAGAGCGTTGTTACTAGATGTTGCAAATTGTATGCCATTTTATTATAGTCGATATTCTTCAGCTTTTTATTCCATAATCAATCAGACTGTTCTTGCTGATATTTCGTGCTTTGATAGCTACCCGCGAAAATGTTTCGTACAGTAATTGGAAATATTGGTTCTACTGGTTCTAGTCATTGTTTGAAAATAGCATTTATAATCTAAACTTTCACCACTATCTTCTAAAATTAAATTTTCATAAATTCTGTGCTCAGGTGTTTCAGCAAATCTAAGTTCTTGTCTACTTCCGGTGTTTCTTCTTTAATACGAAAATATGCTCTTTACATTTTGAGCATTTTTAACATGAAACACTTTTGGCGCTTTGGTTTGCTATAAACTCCTTTCATATAGCTTAGATCCAGAAATATAAAAAAGATTTATTTTATATTTAATTTTAATGTATTCAGATCTTTTATGCTGCTGAACATTTTTTCTTCAGACAGCAGGGTGAATGTGTTGCAGGGAAAAATGCTTATGATCCTTCTGTATTATGTGTCCTTATACTTTTTGATCTTAATTGTATTTTTTCTCGAAAAATCGTTACTTTATACTCGATCTTGTATTTGTTTTGCTCATTCATAGCAATAACACTCTTGACACATTAGAGGCGTAATTTAACCAACCCACAGCGCCGAGTAAAGAAAAGCGTTTTCCCATCCTTCAAAGGTAAGTAAATTCCACATGGAATTCGTTTCCAGAGATCTTAAAAGGACGGAATTTAAACTCGAATAAATGGCACCAATTACCATATAATTTACGTCTCCCGGTAAATATGCTATGTTAAGTTTATTATTAATATTAGACGCGATTCAAGTAATTATAGTAGATATTATTAATATACATTCGGCAAATAATTCCTTTCCATTCGTAAAAGGAATATTTTCCATTAAATATATGATTTCTCTGCACTAGCAAGTAGCTTATTATCTAGTACTAGTACGTATCTACGTTTGCCTCTATCAACAAACCTCAAAAGGTGATCTTCGATAAACCTGTGATAATAAATCAATGTTAAATAGTTTTTTTTGTTTGAATGCTGTAAATTTCCGCGAGGTCTGCCTATACGTACCTATCGATTACACTGAATCCTTGTTAGAAATTGAAGAACAATAATCGTTTATTGTTCTTGGGGAAACTTGAAACACAATTAGCCTGCTAATTGGCACGTGCATAGAGAACGTAATGGGAGCTTATGTTATGTATAGGAAGATTTTACCACTTTCAATGTTAATATTGTTCTAAAGGCAAAACAACACAAACATGTAACCAAAGTACTTGAGATAAATAAAAGTAGGTAGCTAAACACCTTAAATAACTTTGGAAGCTAAATGACAATAATAAGCTGAAAACCTGTCGGATTTCATTATTTCTTATTAAATATTTACGAACATAAAATTATCTGTCTACAGAAATCAACATTTTACAGCAGGAAAATATTGACGTACACAATTATGCTTTGAAAGGTAGGGAAAAATCAAATTATTCCAGATTTACTCCTGGCATTTTATATTCCCTTAACGCTGCTGGATCGTCACATGAATAAAAGAGATATGATAAAAATGAAAATTAAAGATTGGGAGAATGGTATTTTTTATTTTTTCAACGGAAATTACATACTGAAGAATCGAAATACTAAAATGCCAAATCAAATTACCTTGAAATGAAGATAAGGGGCAACAATGTCTTTTCTATTCCATGGCTAAGTACTTTATTCGCATTTAGTTAGATGGTAGGTTTGGATTCATCGCTTCTTAAATTAACATTTAAGTAATAAATCGTAATCTGGACTGGATGTGAGAGAGTTGGGCAAAATTATATAAAAAAAATGTATATTATTAAGTAAATGAAATTTAAATTTCTAAACAATAAATTCTAGTCTTTTCCTCTTGACTTATATTTTAGACAAACTGATGCTTTTTGTAATATTCTAAATGGTAAACAATAAAATTGACTGGAACCCAGGAATTTCTTTTGAATTAAGTTGAAATACAGTCAGGAAAATATACACAACTTGTATTTTATGTCTTTCGATTTGCTAAATAAAGATCGAGGACCAAATTGAGATAAGTATTTCAAAGCTCTTTATACCTACTATACTTTTGGGTTACATTTTGAGAATCGTTGTGAACGAAGATGTGATTAACCATCAACTCATGAACCATTTCGAATCGTGCATTCAGTATGATACATTATTATTAAATTATTATTAATTTATATTTATAAATTATTTAACCAATTTATCCAAACCCACCAAATAATTTTAATCATGCATCGCTAAAATAATGATTATGAAGAAATAGAATTTGACTCAGAACACCAAATTACTTATTTTTTGAGAAATAGAATTGCTCCGCTGTTGCAGTGATCTCTATTATGATAAGAAATGGAGGCAAAAGCAATTAAGATCTTGTTTCTTTTATAAGTGACTGTTAATGCTATGTAGCAAGATATCTGCAGCATCTGTGCGTAAAACATTAAGCACGTCAACGAACAAATTTCTTCAAACAAGAATAAAACAGAAACATGCAGAATATAATAAAAAGTGCAAACAGTGGTAAGAAGAATGAAGATACCTGGTCATATTTATACATATTATTAGACCTACTAACAGACAATGCGTTTTTTATTGATTAATAAATATCAAAACAAAACAAAATAACCTGTTGAAATAATGCTGAAGGAATATAGTTTGACCTTCATTATATCGATCTATCGATGTGGTAAGAAGAATGAAGATACCTGGTCATATTTATACATATTATTAGACCTACTAACAGACAATGCGTTTTTTATTGATTAATAAATATCAAAACAAAACAAAATAACCTGTTGAAATAATGCTGGAGGAATATAGTTTGATTGATCCCGCCACCCAAATTATTAGTTTCATATGAACAACCCCCAGACATATACCTCACATCTAACGATTGCTGATATAAACCAAAACAACCATTGAGAGTAAACAATAAAATTATTTCTACAATCCATAACATATAATTTAAAAAACGTTTTAATTTTAGAAATTCCAAACCCTAAATACCAAAATATACGTTATCTCGGGTATTATCATCTTCGAAACCAGACGACCTTCGGTAAACTATACATCTATCTACCTGCACCATGACATTGTTAGCGAGTTATTATATAAGAAATTCTTTCTGGTATTCGCAGAATAATATCAAATTTTGGTTCAAAACCTAGTTATTAAACCACTTACTTTAGCTTGGAAAGTTATGCCATGATGGAATGCTTCCTCAGGATGGAGTGGTATCCTCGTATCATATTCATCATTCTGCACCAAGTCGTACTGTCTTTTTGACGGCATTTTACCTCCTCGCGATTCACAGCACTTTCATATTTTAGTTCAAAATAACTCCGTTTAAAGTTTTTACTAATACTGTAAGTTTGCTTTGGCACTGATATTTTTCCTTAAGTTCACTTATCACAAGAAATGTGCAACGCGTACGGACTCTGTGATAAAATTAACTGATTGGTAGGAAAGTCGTTGGTGATCACTCAATCAGCTTACTTTCAGCGAAATGCAAAATCAGTTATATCTGATATTTCACAATGTGAAAAAAAGGAGTAATTTTAAATTTCGGCGTAAAATTTTCCGAATCAATGCATGCACAAACTGCAGCTTTCAACTAGAATTCGCATATTTATTTAATTGGAAGAGTTGAACCAATTGCCGACTCATATCGAGTAGTAGAATTGCAGTCGAAATCACTCATAACACAATTGTCCTAAAAGATTTTACCTCCGCGACCACAAGATTTATATCCCATCGACATGGATATCCAACTTCCTTCTAACAACCGCACCGCGCCGATCACGAAATTATACCGAGTCGACTAAAAACGTGATTTTGTTGTCTTCCATTATGTGTTGGTCTGAATGGTTATCTCTTCGTATGGGTAGGGGTGACGTGAATCATTGTGCTTGCTGCACCTGGAACAAAGATAGGAATTACTAGTGGGAACCTATGCGGCGTTTAACAAACAAAGACAAGACAATTAATACGGTTATCCGATTAATCACAATATGAATAACGATTATTTGCAATATTGTCTCACAAGTATACGTTAGTTTTGATCAAGTATTTCACGTTTACATGGCATAGAACGTTTATATGGATCTCCGAAACACACCAGGGTGAAATAAATATTGGTTCCCATTTTATTCTTACAGGCAGCGACAGGTCCATAAACTTCTCAGCATTGATAAATGGTCGGACTTTTCCCTATAGAACTTTATATAAGAAATAGCGTTGTGAATTACGCTTCATTTTAATTTTGCTTTCCAAACGTAGTTAGGATTTTCATTCAAGTATTCTGTTGCACATTCCAAATGTGGATATATATTTCTTTGGTACAAATGTAAATTATTTTTGTAACTTTCTGGAAGCTATTGATTGTACCTACTCACCTTTATGTCAAAAATATAGATATTATTCATAAACTCTTTGTAGTCAAGATACAATGTGTTTTCATTATTCAGTTGATATATTTATTTATCAATAAAAAATAGAAAATACTGGAAAAATACAGCTAGATTTGAAGTGAATTCGATTCTTTTAAGTAATTATGCAATTCGTGAGGCATATCCGACTTAATCCCTACTTGATTGGCCTAGTCAATGGACCGTCAATATTAAATAAACTGAGCAAATGCATGCCAATTTATCGAGAACACCTGAAGGTTTTACTCGCTAATAACACGGCAACCAAACGTTCATGAATTGCAACATGCATAAAGCTATTGAACTGAAGATATTGTGTWTAATTGCGAAATATATTGTTTAATTATCTTCGACCAAACCTCTTTGYTTATATATGAAGGRAAATTAATAGTTAGCATTTGCMTCTCAAAGAAGTCATGAAGACTTCATACAGTATGGTATTTATATGAAAGGCTAATAAAAAGAAATCTTAAATCATCTCATTGGTGGTAAGCTTCTRAAAATATTTTTGCTGTTCTGATAATTAAACCATTTAAAACTATATTTTATTCGCAAAATACAAAAAACTATCCTAAAATGCAAACCTTATACCACAAAACACAAGTAAGAACAGGAACATAGCAAAACATTTGCATTAAATTATTCCTCCTACAACCACTGACAAATGATGCCTCAAAGCCGAGATATCCAAGTCATAAAAATGCATCGGCGAATGCGTGTGATTTGTCCCTTATGCATTTTGATGACAGAAAATGCTTTAAATTGGAATTGCATGTAAATTTTGCAAAAGAACAATATCTCGTCGGCTACGTCGCATATTCGTTCTTCTGACAAAGCCATTACACCATCTGAGGCTCATACTAGATATGCGATTTGTCTTTCTGGATTTGATGTCGATAATGGATGAAACTACATCACTAAGTAGGTACTCTTTAACAAGATGTTTCGAAAAACAAATATGTGAATCTAAATTGAATATTATTGAGTAACGCTGAACGAATCAAATAAATTCGTAAATAGAAAATTTGTAATTTGCTTCAAAAATGTTTGTCTTTTAAAAACTTGTATCATTTAAAATTTTGTATTTTTAGTACCTATCTACGTAAGGAAGCCCGACARATATTGAAACCAAATGAAARCACATCTAGGTATATTATTTACTAGGCCACGGTTTGTCGTTTCGATTTCTTCTTCCCAAGTCGGCTTCTAGRRAGCTTACCGTTATTTTGCTAAAACTATTTAATACCAGCTAAATACCYCGCAAATCGTATTATTATTCGASAAACTCTTCACTTTTTTCACTTTTTTCTTMATTCAATCACCACTRAAATTGTGAATTCAAAGAGTACTTTAAGGGATCAACATCCTGCAACGCGCTCATGCAAGCCTTTTTTCATTTTATTTTTGTAGCTTTTTAGCTAAAATAAAGTTGGAAGCCTGTATTTTATAAAAAGTACTCGACATTTGTAGCTCCGCGCCTTAGAGCTTGACTAGTCACAGATGTGAATCTTTTGAAAGAGTACACAAGAAAATAATATTAAAATAGAATTGGTTTCCCAGGAAATAGCATCACGTATTCATCGTTTATCGCGCAGAAATATCTCGTTTATTAAATGCTTAACATAATTTTATATAGAACTTAAGAAAAAAGTTTGGAATTACTCAATAAAGAAATAATTTCACTCATAATGATGTGCTGCTATTATTTAACGCAGAAAGCAAAAGCTGAAAAATGGAAACAAATATTACGAATCATTTAAAGAAATAAAAATAAAATCGATGGACAGTTTCATATAATAAATAAATTATCTATGTGAGTCTTTTGTTYTAGTACCTATTCCATMAAATGAGGTGAAGCTAAAAATTAAATYCCCAAGTAATAAAATGCAATAAAGCACYCACAAAGGTGACAAATAAAATAAAAGTAATAATGGACCTAAAGCCACCATGAAATGCAGCGGCATAAAATATAAACACAACGAGTTTTTTATGTTCGAATATGGGTAGAGCTCAATCTCTTTTAAAATTCTCTTCTAAGGGTGCGGGATTCTAAACTGTTATTATAGGTTTAACATTTGAGCAAAGTAGAGTAATTCAACTGACAAAACCAATTATAATAGATAAACGTCTGGCTGGGCCAATCAAATGGTATCGGCAATATAACAGGCAATCGACTCTAACAGAGAGACTTGCATTAGAGGGATGGTTTCCTCAGGCGAAACAATACTAATGAAAAATAGATTGATTTTCACTGTTCATAACGAATCATACATTCAAACGTTTATAACGTATTTCCACTGCCAACTTAGAAATAATAGCTAGAATAATACTTACAGAAAAAAATACTGACAAACACGAACAAAGATTAAATAGATTGGCTCAAAGTAGGTCTCTTTTCAAGATGAAATAAATGTTTGACTAACTGACCTAGACTAACTCAAACGGACCCAAACCAGCCGATCAAAGAAGATATTTTTAGAAATTATATTCACTTATTAAAATCCGACAGTCAGGACAAGAAACCAGATATCGACGTACTTTTAAAACGCCAACGACAAAAAGTAATAATAATATTTACTAAGAAACCGGCATTTTAAACCACAATTCATCACCTGTATTTTTTGATACATCATGAGCGGTATTGGTGTAGTATTTACCTTCCCAAAAACCGTAATACCTCAGGCAAGAATATCGATCAACCACGAATCACAAAATACACTTTTTTCTCAGAACATGTGATTTTTATTGTTAACTCACATTAATTACCAGTTTTAGATATATAGAGGCTAAAATTACTGGACTGGTGATTTGCTTATACAATTGATAGATCAAAGACAAACACCTACTAATCAAGAATATTAGCTCCCTTCCATCGAATTAACAATATTGTTAACGATTATAACTTTAGTAGACATCAGTACCTCAAAGCCACCTTTATGACTCTTAACGTTAGGAAACATGATTTCATATTTAAATGCTTTCAATTTTAGATATGCAAGAAAATTTCATTAGCTCGTTCCTATTCAATGAATGGTAGAATCAAAAGCACAATATACAAAAGGTACTATGCTCCTTTACCATCAAGTCGGAACAACAGAAGAAATAATTTACATTTCAATACATATAAGTATAATTTAAACGCACAAAGCATTCTTGAATCTATATGACTCATTTCAGATGAAAACTTCACGTCCATTAACCAATATTTTATTTTACATAAGTTATATTTGAGTAACTGAAGATATTTTCAATTATATATTCAAAATAAATTTTTATATCGTTATAGAAAATTATAAGCAATAAGCACCCAGAAATGCGAAACATAAAAGCAAAGTGATAATAAACATAGTTCTCAGCACTATTTTAGGTGAAACAACAGTAGATCGATCAAAAGATTCTTGTCAAGACGTCATTAATAAATTGGCTTCTAGTTCATAAACAAAAAAAGATAAATACATATTTGCAAAACTGTAATTGTAGATATACATAAAATGTCATATTTACTTTCATAGCCTTGTATAAAACGAAGCGCAGTATACACGGAAGAATGCATTTGTTTTTCATATCATGCCGACGCAATAAGAAACCATTTTGTGTAATATTTGATATAAACAACATTAAAGTCGCGACATAAAAGTCAAATACACGCCCAAGGAAGCGCATTGCATTTCCAATAAGAAACATGTAACATAAATATCTTACGAAGCACGTTCGCGCTTGAATGTTCAAAAACTAAATATCACTTCATATTAAGAAAATTATAATTGTAGATAACGGCGCAATTATGATATTTTGTTTCATATTCCTATGTTTATATGGAAGCAATATAAACCGCAAAATGTGGCGATTAACTTTTATATTACGCCCAAGCAATGTGAAACAATTTTGTGAACTAGCTGACATAAACAACATTAAAAATGCGACATAAAGTCAAATAAACTTCCGAAGATTCGCAATGATTGCATTGTTCCGAGCAGATTGCATGAGAAGGGAGCTCAGTGCAAATATAAAAGACATCTAGTCTTTGTACGATTTTTAAAAAGTGGCTCCAAAAAACAAACAAAAGAAAACATTATTTTTTCTTTTCTTCATACTTCGAAAGGGAACGAACGTAGAAGCAGAAACTCGCTTACCTCAGGAAAAGCTGAAGAATAAATACAAAGTAGGAGATAGATACAACATTGATAATCTGATTGTTAAGTAGCTTGATCTCTATTATGCTACCGAACTGAACTGACCACAGCTGTCCGAAGATACTTGCTGCCTTGTTAACAGAAAGCTATTGAGACACAGCTGTTCAACTTTTACCCTTTTCCTGTATTGTTCTCTTTTTGCTTCGACTCCCACACTTAAAGCCGGGGAAATACAAACAAAAAATCCCCTAGAAATTCGTGACTTGCCTAATTTGTTGCGCTGGCTTTTGCAAATCAGACGCAGGTGTGCCTTTTTTCGCTTGTGTTCGGTGTGTTGGTACAATGTAGATAATCTCA